TGAATCCTTCCTATTTCTATTTATGAAAGTAGAATTTTGATTCATAAACTTTCAAAACTTATGACTTGATTCTTTTCTTTATGTGACCTATGAATTCCTTCCTTCTTCTTCTTCTTCTTCTTTTTTTTATGACAATGGGGAGAAAGAAACTAGCTAGCATCTTAAGAAAGTAAAAATGCTATCTTGCACGTATCAAAGAATCAAAAGTGCTTGCACATCTCAAGAGAAGTGCTAGCTTGCCCATATCAAGAAGCAAAAATTGCTATTTGGCACTATCTCAAGAAGCAAAAATTTTGCTTAACTTCATATCTCAAAAACTTGCTAGCTTGTATATTCTAAAGTGGTGTGAAATACTGGCTTGCATGGATCAAATACTTGTTACACTTTTCTCATTTTTGTTGATGACAAAGGAGGAGAAGTAATAAGTAATGATGAATGATAAAAATTTTAATGTTTTGATATCATGTATGCCCAAAGTGATGTTGACTTGGTATCATGCATGAAGTGATGATGAGTTATAATGTTTTGAAATTGTGCATCTTATATTTTGATAATTTAAAACTATGATGCATAATGTATGAAAGTTTGATACAATGCATATGATCAAAATGGTTTCACTTAAATTCAAAATTTATTTTTCCTTTTGAATTCAAGTTTGCCTTATTTCGATATGGCATATAGATAGGAGGAGTTAAGGTTAACTCCATCATCAATTAATTATCATCATAAAAAATAGAGAGATTATTAAATCTCATATTTTGATGATAAAATCAATTGATTTATTATCTAATCTATATGTTGAGAAAAGTGATGTAGGACTAACTACAATTATGAAAAGGTAAAACAATTAAAGAATCAAACGTTGGGCCGGAGTCAAAGATTAGGCATCGGGCCGGAAGAATTGGACAATGCGCCGAGAACGGATGGATCAGGCGTTACACCAAAGGTTCAGATGATGCACCAAAAACTCGTCGGGAGTTCACCGGGAGTTCGCTGGAAATTCACTGGAAGTTCAAACAAACAATTGAGATGCCAGACAATTAAGATTACTTGTATTATAATTGTTTTAGCCTTAATTATCATAGTTAAATATCAATTTGAGTTAGTTTGGGGAGTAATCCTACTAACTCAATTAGGGGCCAACTAGGCCCGAATTAGGGCTGAATTGAGCCTACTATTTGGCCTATTTAGTGACTCAGAGCAACGTTAGGCGGTGGCACCACCAAGGCTGGTAGTGGAATCGTTTGAGGCTCGGCCTCCCAAGTATTGTTTGGGCGGTGGTACTACTGACAATTAATACTCTTATGTAGTGGTACCACCAGAGCCTAGTCTCTAAGGCTCTATCAAGCAATTGTATCACTCAAACTGATGATAGTACCTCTAGTTGTCAGGGGAGCAGATGATGGTACCATCAATACTAGCGGTGGTACCGCCAGTACCTTGAAAACCCAAGATGAGACACTTTTTAGCTCCATTTTTGAAGTTATTTGAGGCTTATAAATACCCACTCTTTCCTACATGAAATAGCATGAAAAGTGAACAAAAAACTTATAATCTAAGTGAGAAAACGCTATTGTAATCCCTTGAGAGGTCCCCTCCTTTTCTCTAAGTGTAATTTTTGTTTAAGGGAGGGCTGAGAGAACTATAAAGGTTATCTCCTAAACCTATGAAAAGGATAATAGAGTTATAAGAAGGTAGTTGATCTTCAGCCATTGAAAGAAGATCAATAGTGGGAGTTGATGACCTCAATGAAGGAGAAATCAGGAGTGAACATAGGTCACGATGACCGAACCACTATAAAATTAGTGTGCCTTCTCTTCTTTGCTTTTTTTCTTTATAGTGCTTACTGATTTGGCTACTCACTCCACTTCACACTTTCTTTAAGTTTAAACGCAATTCCGATATGATTTTATCAAACCAAGTTTTCAAATCGCTAATGTTTTTATGTAAGCACTAATTTATCCCTCCCCTCTTAGTGCTAATTTCGATCTTAATAGACTTAAGGGTTGCACCTAGACTGAGCCTACATGCTCCCTGCACTTGGTGTGAATACCCAAGGCCCGCACCTCAGCCGAGCTTACTCGCTCCCAAGCCATGCACCTCGGCATGAAGATTCGAGGCCTGCACCTAGGTTGAGCCTACATGCTCCCTAGCTATGCACTCGGCATAAAAAACCGAGGTCTGCACCTTGGCTGAGCTAATATGTTTTTTCGACAACAAGCAAGGAAGTTATCAAAAGAAACGCACAAAAGACGCACCTCGAAGCCCTCTACGAGAAACACAAGGTACACCTCTATGGGAGGAAGAAAATGATAGAGGATATTTTGTTATCACCTAACTGGTAGCCACCTCTGATCACACGTGGTGCCACTCCAACTAGCACACATCTCAAAGCGATACGAAATGACACAACCAAACTTAGAAACTACTACATCCTGAAGCGATGCTACTCGGTACAAAAGCAACACAAAGCAAAATCTACGCTATTTGAAATTGCATAAAGTGACACCTGAAAGTGAGGAAATAGCCCTGCACAACATGGGATCAAAATAATCGCTTCATAATAGACGAATCGCCCATTAAAAATATCGATGAACACTAACAACCTACAAACGGTCAATCCTTGGAGAGGTATAAAAACTACCCTCAAGTAGACACCAAGGGGGCTCTCGATACACTAAGTCATACAACTTACACTACTTTCTTCTCCTCTTATCTAACTTAGGTATTGGAGGGGCTACTTCAGGCAACCCTCGGGGCCAGCCTATCATGCAAGATCGTCGACCACCTGAAGACACTTGGATGACCTAGCCCTAAGGCAGAAACCTTGCAACCAGGAAGATCCCAGTCTGCCTACCTATCCATCCTGAGTCGGGTCCTCACCAACAGAACAGCTTTCGATCGGGTACTCTATATAGTCTAACCTCACCAAGTCTCTTACATCAGTTGGGAAGAGGTGCCTGGATAAGCCTATGCCTTTGGTAGTTAACCAATCGTATGACTCATCGGTCCCCTACCTCGAGTGCCAAATCGTCCATATCCTTTATCATTTTGATCTCTCCTTTGAGATCTAGTTTCTGAATTTTGTTTTTGGTCCTTCTTCTTATGTATTTTCATTTGAAGAGTATGTTCTAAAGTTTCTAATAATCTATTCATTTTTTATTCATGAACTAAAAATGAGCCCATTAATTTATTAATAGACAATATACTTGTATCCTTAGCCTCTTCTATAGTAGTAGAGATCATATCAAATCTTGGAAATAAACTCTATAAAAAAAAAATTTACTACTATTTGATCTTTTAAATTTTCACCATTGTACCTTATTCGGTTTACAATAGAAGAGATTTTTGAGAAAATAATAATAATAAATTTAGAATCTTTCATCATAAGAGTTTTGAATTCACGTTAAAGAATTTAAAGATTTAAAATTTTTATCTTATCTGTGCCTTAAAATAAACTTTTTAATATTTTTCAAGCTTTAATTGATGTTGATACTGATATGTTTCGGGGAAATAGAAACTCACATATTGCTTGTTGTAGTATACAGAGAGCTGTTGTATCTTTCTATATATTTTTATTCATTTGATCTTATTGATCTTCAAGAATATTAGGATCCTATAGATCATGCTCACTAAACTTATTTTCTATCAAATTTTATAATGTTTATAATATAAATAGAGTTCTTATTTTAATGGTTCAACACTGATTTTTTTTCCTTTAAAATAGAAAAAAATTGATTAGAAATACTTGCTCTAATGTTTATCATCTTTTTTTTTTATCTACTTATTTTTTTTCTTTTTTTAATTAATATACTCATATTGGTCTTCTTTGAACCGAGCTTTGATATCATATTTGTTAACTTTTTATAAAACCTTAAGTGGAAAAAAAAGAAGATAGTAGAAGGAATGAGATGGAATTTTGATCTACATTGCTTTGGAATCATACAATAATATTATTTATATTAGTCAAAAATAAAATATAAATTTCTTAAATAATAAAAAAATCATAACCTAACAAATCTTATCACCCTTATTTATTTATTTTAATCTAATTTTCATTATTTAAATTAATCTTATCAGATCATGCATCACATCTCTTCTAGGTATACTAGAACCAAGAGCAAGCTGTCATTCCCTTCTTCTTGTGATGCACAATGGAGCAGTCGCGAGAAAGCACCACTCGGGTGCTCGAGATCCGCAAGGGCACCTCCGGTTGGTCTTGCGGCCCTCCGCCTATCTTTCTAACGCATTTCATGCCTTTTTCTATTTACCTTTTTCTAGCACGTGGTTCGATGTTGATATTTGAATGACTGCTACCGAGGATGTAACTGTGTGATCCATCTGGCTGAAGTGACTGCGAATTGTATGGTGCGACTGATGGGAAAGAGTAATGGACGACAGAGAGATAAACGAGAAGACGCAGAATCCCTGGCTCTCCCTTTCAGTGTTTTCATTGCTTATTGAAACTATTCTAGATAAAGAAAAAGAAATAACAGCAATCGATCTATAAGGAGAGGAGGGAAAGAATAATGCATTAGTGGAGAGGGATCAGGATATTTGAGGTGGCTGGCGTCGCGTGTCGGTATCATACTTCAGGAATTCGTGAGAATGAAGAATATAGCTACATCGAGAACAGCTAAGATGTGTGGGGGTTAATAATATTCCTTAGGATAGGTTCGATCGAACACTGACCCCACTGTTTGTAAATGGTTGCACTAGTATACATACCTATACCTAGGATTGCGTTAAATGCTTTATTTTTCCTTTTTTCGGTTTTTTATGTTGCTAACATTAGTAGTAGTAAAAGCAGTTTTCTTATAGCTTTAGCTCAGTGAGTGGCATCGGGCGAGGAAAAGTCATTCTGACTTGTGGACAATATAGCATAAACTATTTACCGGGGTGAATGGAAAGGGCGAGAGGCAGCGGCATATTTTATAGGAGCGGGAGGGGGTAGGGTATATTAACAAAAGAAAGCCGAGTGATGCAGAGGGGTGGGGAAATCGACAATTTAAAGCTGGAAAGCAGAAGGAAGCTGTGATTCTCAAGGGAGTGGCGGTGACGCCTCATCACCTACAAATACCACCCCTCCCCCCGCCTCACCTCTTATCAGCCTTGCTGACTGCCTCTTTCTTGAAGCACAAGCCACACCATCCCTGCCCTTGTGATCTCTGCCTCCCAAACCAAGAACACAAGCCCTCTTTGGATACTGCATGCTATCTTTGTTTGAGGTAATCACATTATTGCTTGGAGCAACCCATTTGCCCCTGCTTTCTGACCGCTAATAGTACTACTGGACTCCCTCACCTCTTCTCCTACTCTTATTTTTTTGTGGCTCTCCTAGTCTCTGAGCTCTTTTTGCTGTTGCATTTTGGTTCTCAGCTTAACACATAATAAACAGAGCCTCTCCGCTTCCAAACTCTGCGGTAAGGATGTCGGTTGCTGTGGCGCAAAGCTCATCCGCAACTGCGTTCTACACGGACAACTGCCGCTGGCCGGCGCCTGTGGAGCGACGCAAGAGCGATGCTGACCCTCCTCCGCCGGTCGAAGAGAGCAGCGACGATGAGCGGCCCGGGCAATTCGACATATGGAGCGCGATCCAATCGCAGAAGGTGGCGGATGCCGCTCCTGACCAGCCGGCGGCTCCTTATGTTCATCCTCTGGTGAGGCGATCGCCGAGCTTGTTGAGCCAGAGGAGCCTGGAGATCTGCACGGAAAGCCTCGGCTCCGAGACCGGCTCCGATGACTTCTCCTCGTCCTTGGAAGACCTCGACTACTATTATCCACCCAAGTTTGAGGACGAAGAGAAAGAGGAAGAAAAGAGGAGCCAAGGAGTAGCGGGAAGAGGAGCCAAGGAGCTGTCTTCCGTGAACTTCCGTTGCTGCAGGAGGTCACCGCCGAGGTCGTTCCCCCCGCCGCTCCCGTCGATCTCACGACGGAACGTGTCTTGCCTCCATATGAGGCCTCACCGCCTCGACGGGCGCCTCGTCGTGGAAGCCGTCCCCGTCCCCGCCCCTTCAAAGTGCTACCTTCACGCCCGGCGCGTGGACGGCCGACTCGTCCTCTCCTTCACCGATTCCACTCAGGCTCCCAATAAAGTCACACAACCACAACAGCATGAAGATGTCGAACAAGATGCAGATATCAAAGAAAATGAGGCAACGGAAGAAAAGGACGAAGAGTTTGAAGAAAAGAACTGCTGCGAAGAAGAGGAAGAAGAAGAGGAAGTGGAAGTCGTGGACAGGGGAACTATCGTCGAGGTGAAGGTGAGCACGCAACCCCAGCAACGGACCGGCGCCATGAAAGTGCACCGTTCCTCGCTCGTCATTAACAAGTTCGTCAGCGGCACGCCCCTAAGTGGCATGACCAAATGCGAGCAACCGACTGAGAACGATGAGAACGTGAGCACCGTTCCATCATCTTCTGCACCCAGGCGTGCATCGCCAACTACCACAACCACTGCGGCGGTGGCGGTGGCGGCGGCGTCCACGCTGAGTGTCACCACCGAAGGCGACATTGACTACGGCCATGGCGGGCTGTGGGTGCCGCTTGGTGGCCACCACCCGCCTGCCGACAACAAGCTGTTGTTTACTTCCAAGCGGCGGAACCGCGGCGAGCTCCTGCACGACATGAAGAGATGCAGCCAACTCCGGAGGCCGTTGTTCATATGGGAGCCCTGTTGTATTGCCACATCCTCTTGAGAGTGCCGACGCAGCTGGCCACGGCGTCGCATGCGTGGACCCATCCTATCCCTTCTATTGATGATTACTATTCTTACTATTACTATTAAGCTAGTAAGCATGATTATTGCATGCCCTGTAGCCTAACTGTTTGGTTCCCTTTGTACTGTGGTTTAGTGAACCACACCGATGTCTTTTCCTTTGGCCAACCAGTGATTGAATTTAATAAAGAAAAAATATGAGATTTTTATGTTCTTTCTTGTTTCATACGGAATCAGCATGGAATGTTTTGGCCATATAAAGTTTCAGAGGGGATTAATTTGATGCAAAATGTCGATTCTGGTTTCTTTTTTCTATTTTTCACAGAGATAATAAAATTTATACTGCTTTACATTGTTTGGATTGATGGCGCACCTTAAATTTGCCATGCACATTTATCTAATGATTTGGATCCCCCTTACTATTTATTAGTGCCGCAGATGCTTCGGGATAAGCACGCAAACCTGATGACGAACCCTTGATATATATGTCCATGGAAATTTCTCTTAGATGATCTTGAAAGAGACTGTTTTAGCTTATCTTAGATTAGGTTATCAGTATATGCATCATGAGATTTGGATTTCATTTACTGTTAGGTTTTTTTCCTAAATATTGAATTTAATTACAATTGATCTGAGTTACCATATACAAAAAATTACAGTTATCCGAAAGTTTTTTTTTTTTACAAATGATTTGTGACAAAGATGGAATACAAAATATTATTAATGTCACATGGTATTTTAATATATATATCTATTATAGGAAGCTTCCGACAATACAGAATCTAATATATTTTAATATATATAATTTTATTTTAAAATATTTAAAGAGATTTGTCATACTTAAAACTCGGATTTGAAAAAAATAATCTTATTATTGTATTAAGACGTACCCTCATTATAATATTTATCGAATATATCGAATGAGGTTTTGTTATATTACGAAAAGCTTGATCTTTTTAGTCTCTTAGCAGCTTTTACATATCTTTTTTTACGTGCGTTAAATTTCATGCATAAATAATCTTGTCCAAAGAATTCGAATTCTACCGTTTGATGGATGACAACAGTTAATTGTCAAGAATCTTTTTAGTATAGTGCTTCTTAAATGTTGCAAAATGATGCGCTGCTTATGATCAGCTCCTATATTTCTAGAAGGCTTAATTGCCTCGTACTTGTTCTTGCTTTCCTTCTAGAAATCCAATTAACTTTTTGGTCACAGTTTATTCTTGCTATCTAAGGCGAATGTTCTCATCACATCAACGCAACAGTACGATGGAACACCCTTTATTCTCTGCGAAAAGGAAAACGAAAACCACAGCCCCACAAAGTTGTGGTTGCAGAGTCGAGCGAATACATAAATAGTCTGACGGAGAGAGCAGAGCCAATGAGAAGATTGCGTGAAGCCGGAGCGATTTCCCTGTCTGGTATGTGTGCACGGGGAAGAAAAGTTGCAGTGACACTTGGGTGTTAGATTTACTAGTTATAGGATGGTGTTGATGGAAGAAGACGAAGTGGGAATCCGAGATCTGTCTCACTATTGAGACATCCGTTACCATCAAACTGTAGCGAGAACAAAGGCAAAGAAAAAGATCCAAGCATCCAGGAGAAGAGAGCAACAGCAGCGGTAGAACCTGATTCTTTCTTGTCGCCTCAACTTCCCGTCATCTCAAGCTAAAGTCCTTTAGCATCACGCTATTTCTCTCCTCCTGGTTGAATTGGTCGTGATTTGATAATTTTTTCCATGTATATTTTGAAGATTTTTTTTTTAAATTTTTATAAAATTAATTAATTATAATATATTTAAAGTATCTTCGCTCAAATATTATTTTTTTATATTTTTACAAAAATTTTGAAGAATTTATAATTTTTTTACTCTTTCTAAAAATACTAGAGAGCATTCTCTCTATTAATCCCAAAAAGATATTAAAATTATTTAAAATATTCTTCACATTTTACTTATTTTATTCATCAAAACCTAAAAATATAATAACTAAACTTTGATTGGTATGGTATCTTCCTTTACTCGTTCTCGTGCTAAGATTTCTTATCCTTCTCGGACATTAGCTCTAAAATTTTTAAAAATACTTATGGATCTCAACAACTTCTTTCTTCATAAATATTTTATCTATTTTTGTGTATTTTAAAAGAAAATATTTTTACCTGATGCTTATTCTAATATTCATTATGCATTCTTATTGAATTTCTGATTATCGTATATCTTAGACTTTGTACCATTTTATTGAGGAGGGAGAGAATAACTCAAAATCAAAATATAAATTTATATATCAATAATCAAGAACTTATCAAAGTTGATACAAAATTAATATGGTTCGTCAACTCCCTATTTATATTTATGAAAAAAATTAAAATTTTCATCTTGTGAAATCAATTATAGGTACATTAAGTTATCTTCGCTCAACATAATTTCTCTTATATATCCTTTCACATAAATTCTTAAGAATTTATATCTTTTTCTTACCCTCTTTAGAAATTCTATAAAACATCCCAACCTAAAGTAAAACTAAAAAGTATATAAAAAAATTCTCACATCTTACTACTCTCTCTATGAAAATCTAAAAACATATAAAATATTTATAAAAAAAATCTTAATTATTAAAAATTTTATTTCATGAATACTCACTCTTACTCGGAATTTTTTTATCTCAAGTTATCTATTCTATAAATCTCAAAATAATTTTCAATAGAAACGATAAAAAATGCTAGTGTAGAGACAGAATCTGGTGACCACCATGCATCTGTAAATATACCGGTGGATTATTATTAGAACCCTTTGTAGATTCTAAACTTGGAGTTAATCTCCTTAGGGGATCGGTCTCCTTGGAACTCTATAAGGGTTCCTCCCTCTAAGTTGCTGCTCAAAGGCTTCAGAAAAGATTTATCTCTTACTTATCAAAAGAGGAGGAATACATGACTATTTATAGGGCTTCTAAACCCTAATTCCTAATAGGACTCCTACTTCTAACCAACTCATAATTGGACTCCTACTCAAGACTCAAATTCCTTTACAACTCCTAAGTTTTCTATAAGAAACAACCTCCTAACTCTAGCTGGCATCTTCACCTCTTTAATAGGGGTCGGCTTAGGTAGGTTTTACATGAATGCCCTTTTCTATTAGGACTCTCATAACTAGAGTCCTAACAGACCCGTCCTCTTCAAATCAGACTTGTCCTCGAGACTGAGATTTCATGAACTCTAGGAATTTGATCTTCAAGTCGTCATAGTTCTCCCAAGTGGCACCTTCTACTAGTAAGTTTGGCCACTATATTAGCACTTCAATAGTGGGTCGTTGTCGTCAGGTTATGATCCGTCGATCAATAATGGCACTTGATTAGGTCGAGAGTTCTCCTTGGGTAGTCATATTTGGTGGATAGCTTTGGGCTGTCTCTAAGCACCTATTCACCACTTCCGTCTGGCCGTCGGTTTGTGGGTGATACACCGTACTCCTTTTCAATTTAGTACCTTACATCTGGAATAATTCTGTCCAAAATCTGCTCATGAAGATGCAAGTAGAATATGACACAAGCACAATATGTCCCTTATAGCATAATTCTTTTGAGTCTCACTTGTAATGAGCTACGAAGCTTAGTGCTTCCTCTAATTTTTTTATGATCTTACTGGTCTCCAGATCTTCTTGTCATTCCCTCTTAATATCCTCAGGGATGTTGCTAGTCAAAAGTGAAATGACCGAAAATTTAGCTTGCTTGGGTAGCTGTGAAAGCGTATTTGCAATAATATTCTCTTTCTCTTTTTTGTAAATTATTTTATAATTATATTTAAGAAGCTTTGTTACCCATTTTTGCCATTCATGGGAAGATATCTTCTACTCCAAGAAATATTTTAAGTTTTTATGATCGGTTGAAAGCATCGCCCGATCAAGTACGTTTGGCCACTATATGCACAATCGCAAGCATCTCCTTATCATAAATAGTAATTTTGAGATGGGAACGAGATAATGCCTCATTAGTATAAGCGAGGGGGCAGCCATCTTGTATTAGTACAATACCAATTTCGACTCCGGAGGCATCGGCTTCAATAACGAAAGTCTTGCCGAAGTCGAGTAGTGCTAGTACGGGCGTTATCGTCATTGCGGCTTTAAGTTTGTCGAAGACAGTGGTGACTTTGTCCAACCATTGGAAGGCATCTTTTTTCAGCAAGGAAGTAAGTAGTGCACTGATCTTTCCATCATTTTTTACGAACTTGCAGTAGTAGCCTATTAAACCAAGAAAGTCATATAGCAATTTTATATTCCTCGAGATCAGCCAGTTCTGTATTGCTCCAATTTTGGAGGGGTCCACTATCACACCTTCCTCTGATATGATATGCCCAAGATATTCCATCTTCTATTGAAGAAAGCAAAAATTCGTAGTGGTTGTTGTGTGTTCAAAAGGTGGTTTTCGGTATATCTTCTTCGCACATTTGTATTTAATGATACCCGGATCAAAGGTCCAGCTTTGTGAAGATTTATGCTCCCTTTCATCTAACAATTCATCTACTATTAGAATAGGGTATTTGTTCTTGATGGTTATGCTGTTGAGAGCTCGGTAATCAACACACAATCACCATATTCCGTCCTTTCGTACGAGGAGCACCAGTGAAGAGCTGCAACTTGACCGAATATCTCATGTTTCGAGCATCTCTTTTACAATCATTTCTATTTCATCCTTCTGGAGATGTGGATATTGATATGGCTGAGTATTTGCTGTTGATTTTCCTGGAAGAATCGTTATACAATGATCATACCAATGGATAAGAGGTAGGTTGCGCGATTCGTCAAATATATCTGAAAATTCAACAAGCAAAGGAAGTAGATTTGGATCTTCAAATTTTGTTGGCTCTCCCTTAGTTTGCTGCTCAAGTTGTACCAAAAAGCCGCTGCATGCTTTATGCAAAACCTTCTCTATTTGTTGTGTGCATATCATCATTACGTTGCCCTCACGTTTCCCGTGCAGTATCACTTATTTCTCTTTATTGTAAAATTTTATAATTAATTTCATAAAATTACAAGAAATATTATTTAATATCATCAACCATTTAATTTTGAGCTTGGCCTCATGATCATCAAGAGGGAGGAGGAAGAAATATACAATTATCTCTTGGTCCTATAGCAATAGTTTCGCCCGCGGGCATCTTTCGTCGCACTTTAGGGTTCTATCGTCGGCGGCCTTTACATCGGACTTGCTGCAACCTTTGATG